CTTCTGAGCAACCACTTCTGTTGTATTAATGATGAATACTTGTAGTTTGATTAAAAACCATCTGCATGCTGATATAAAAAGTGGGTCAACAATCAAGAAGTTTGTAGACATACATTCTGGCAGCAGTGCCCCTGCCTTCAATGGCATTGTATCTCTCTCTGTCCATAGGATTAAACATGAGTCTTCTGAGCAACCACTTCTGTTGTATTAATGATGAATACTTGTAGTTTGATTAAAAACCATCTGCATGCTGATATAAAAAGTGGATCAACAATCAAGAAGTTTGTAGACATACATTCTGGCAGCAGTGCCCCTGCCTTCAATGGCATTGTATCTCTCTCTGTCCATAGGATTAAACATGAGTCTTCTGAGCAACCACTTCTGTTGTATTAATGAAATTATCGTCTTATGTTTCAAGTTATACTTAGCCAAATTTTGACATTGTTTCTTCCTCATGCATAACGTGACATAAATCTGAGAGATTTCATTATTGCTTTCAATGTTTCTTTTGAAATAAATGAATAAAAATTAAGATAATAAAAAAACTTTGAGCCATAACATACTTGATGATAATAATTTCATTAAAAGACTTTGATAGTAAAGTGGTTTAATTAAATTTTGAATGTAACTCGGTGACATGTGTAGAAAGGAGTTTAAAAATGGCATTGTTGTCATAGGGTTAAGGAGCTTAGATAATGCTATTTAAGCCTGTGATGGAACCACTACAACAAAACAAAATGCTTTACATTTGAATATTTATTTATTTGTTTATTATTAAGCACAAAGCTACACAATGGTTTATATGTGCTCTGCCCACCATGGATATCAAAACCCAAATTTTAGCAGTGCAAGTTGTAAGATTTACCACTGAGCTACTGAGGTGCTACATTTCAAAATAATCTGTTCTTCTTCCAATAATTTAGCTTGTACTCTAAGTTTAAAAGTCCAAGTTATTGATAGCTTACCTTCACAATTCCATCCTTTGCCTCTTGTACTAGTCTTGCTCTAAGTTCTTTTTCAAAACTAGGGTAAAGAAACTTGTTGAGTGCTAGTTCTAGCGCCTGGCTTCTCTGGTCATTCCACTCTTGTACGTTTCTGCTAAATTCATCCTATACAATAAATCATCACCTATAAACATAAATCACTTACACATATTCCAAAATTAGTTTAAAGATAGTAAACAAGTGTTACACATGAGAAACAAGTTTTATTGTAGAGACATTATAGTGGATCACTTACAAAAGTCTATTTGGATATTAGATATTGCTGTGGATTAATTACATGAAATATGTTGAGAAGAAACATCACTGTGATTCACTATAAAGACAATATTTTGAATATGGATCACTAAAAATATAAAAACTATAAAAGCACAGAAATGACCCAAAACTGGTTTCTTCAGAAGTTCAGGATGAAAAAAAGATCACTCTTTGAAAACATTTGCACATCTGAGCAACTTCTTGTACTTTCATAAGCTTAAAAATCATAAACATTTTGGTAATTGTAATATATTTTCAAGGAAGTATTAACTACCATTATCCAATTTTAATTAGTAAACAGAGAATAAAGTACATGTAAGTCTAAACGAGAAGATAGCTTACTTGCCTCTTTGACACATATGGTTTGCTGAATGCAGTTGAAACAAGAAACCCTTGATAGGTGCCATGCCCACCTTCTATAGTTTAACTTTGAGCTTTAGAAGTTACATGTAATTTCAGCATGTACATGTTTATAGTCATTAGAAAGAGCTCATTTTACACTATAATATGATATGGGTCATTTTGAAATTGGTGTCAAATTGTCCTTGAGTAGATGTGACTGCATGTACTATTATTGGCTGCTTTGTTCACAACAGCACTTCAGTTGTTTCTCACCTAAGTATGTTCTGTATTTAGGTTTTACTTTTATATTTTAGTTAATTATGTATTTGTTTTAAAATTCATATTTGAAAGGTTTAATAATTTTTATAAAATAGCCAAAGCTTCCCCTTGTTCTGCAAGGCTTCATTACCAAGTGTACATAAAAATATTTTGTCCAATGCTAAAGTTTCACTGTCATTCATACTTTTCTATCACCCTTGGGTATCCATCGACGTGTGTCGACATAAATAATCCATGGTAAAGAATAGGAAAGGAAAGTAAAAGTATTAAAAATATACTATAAGTGAAAAGGTAATGATGTAAAACTATGCATATGATCCAAAG